ACTTTAAAATGTTCTCCAGATGATTTTCTGATACCGTATAAAAGACGTTATCTTTACATTACATATGTATTAAATCCTAAATATAGTTTCTTCTAGCCTTTCAAATGCTACATTGGTAATTTTATTTTTTTTTACCATTAGGCTTTTAAGACACTAAGACTTTTTGCATATTTTTATCAGAAACTGATATCTCTGAGGTTTCTAGTCAACATCTAAAATTCAAAGAGATGTAGGATACTCTTGTAAAGATAGTCTTTACCTTATTTTGGTTTTCTAATAATCATGATTACAGCATTTCAGGTTTAATGCCAGTTTCATGTTTTTTCAGGCTTTTGTTTTATATAAACATATACCTCAATGTACTCTATGAAATTAAACATTTTAAAATACTTGGATAACTATTGCTTGTAGTGATTCAATACCTGATGATGGTCAATTTCAGTGTGATTAAAAGGAAAATCCACTGTGATGATAATAGTTCTGTCCTTATTTTAAATTATTCTCCTATAATAGGGGGGAAAAAAATGAGTTGCTTGTTCCTTACATTTTAAATTAATATTCTAATAGAGACATTACAAAGCATAGATACAGGGGACTATTTTTAACTGTTGCATATCTTGATTTAATGATGCTGAATGCATATATGGTGCACATTTTAATTGCAGACACGGACATCAGAGAAATGGCATCTTCCTCAGGTCAGATATGTGATTGACCTTGATTTCATTGTGGCTTTTTTGTATTTACTGTGGATTACATCTCTAACAAACAGAACCACTCAGCAGCTTTCATATAAACTCATGATTTAATAATAGATCACAGTCCATATCTCATTTTTCTTTTACTTGCTTGAAACATTAAGGTTTACCATTTCAGCTACTGAATTACACAAAGCTTTCTTCATCAGTTTGAAGCTTCCATTGTGAATGCTCCTGACTATTAAGATTTCTTTCCCTTTCTTTTGCAGGTTTCATATTTTCACATAGTTGTTTTAAAGCAGATGATGGCCTGTGCTTTCAGTTTCTTTATGTACTTTTTTATTTGTATTTCTTTTCACAGATGAAGATGACACTTCAGTTAGTACTCCACCAGCAGGTTAGGACTGTGATAGTGCTTTGTGCGTGTATGTATGTATGCATTCTTCTCTTGACTATTAATGAAGAAAGAGTCCAAACCATTGGACTGATCTCAAAACATACTAATTAGAGAAGAAGTTTTTTAAAGTGCCCTACATTAAATTAATCTCTGTTCAGAAGTACAAGACTTTCATACTAGATAAGTTCATTTCCAGTCCTGTCTTGAGGTCTTTGGTAGAACTTCTGCCATTGGAAGGTAAAATATCGGTTAGCAGCTCTGAAAGCAACTCCCCTTATCTTTTCCTGTCAACAAACATGGAGTGCATTTTTAAGGCTAGTCTTGAGAGCAAATTCCAGAATTACAAATAAAACAGATGCCTTATGACTTCAAAACAGGTTTATCTACATAATTGTCTATCACTGCACCTTAGGCCATATGACCTACAAGGTAGTTCGAATGTACTGCTCCACGCCATTGCTGCCAAGCTGGCAGATAAAATGCCTCTGATTGTTGGCAGTAAAAGAAAAGCTACAGCACAGGGATCCATCATGATAGATGTGATATGGGCAAAATTTCTCTATTGCTTGCTTAATATGTTTTTTTAAAAATAAACTGTGAATGAAACAGAGATTTTGAACACTAGAAAACACTTTGCAGTGTGTCAAATGAAAAACTTGTTCTTAATTATCTTCACTGCCCTAAATGATGGCATTTTCTTGATTTCTCCCAAAAGAATTTGCATTATTAACTTCGGGCTGAACGCTATCTGTAAAGTCAGTAGCAGTATATTGATTTACAGTAGTAGAGGACCTCTCTGGTAAAAGCTAAATATATAAATAACATTTTAAATCACAAAACGCTAAAATTTAATTTTAACTATTTATGATTATTTTCTCAACCTAGATAAATAAATAGACTATTTAAATAATTCAGAAAGTATTGTCCCCTCAAATAAACATTGAACAACATAAATTCATCTGTTATCTGGAACTACATAAATCATGAAGAAAACATCAGCTTCACGAAACCCTTCTAAATATGAACTACTAAAAAGGAATTCTTGAATGGGAATTAAACTAAACTAATTTAGATTTTCTAGAGAAAAAGGGGAAAGATTTCTGAATTTTTTTCTCAGCTGTTCCCTTCCTTTTTCTGGTAATCAAATAGTTCCAGATGGGTATGGTCCTAAATATCTAGTCTAATCTTCTTGCATGAAGAATCAATGTTCTTTAAATCCCAATGATCTGAGGTTAGTTAAGCTGTGATCTCTGAGCTGGTATCACCTAAATTGCTCTTCCCTTTCAGATGGGATGTCTAAGCCAGCGGAAAGAAAAGATTCAGGTGAGACCTCCTGAAAAACATGTTGAAACAACCCAAATTTTACATAATACAATTATTATTAATAATTTATTTCTTAAAGATTATATTTAATTTTAATTTAATTGTTTATACAGTATCAAACTGTAACTGTTGAAATGCTTTTAGGTCAGAGCAAATCAGAGCAAATAGGTTTCTAGCAGCTAAAGCAGGAGTGAGAGAAGGCTCTGCTGCAAAGGACAGGACCTGTATCGGTATTTTACACATACATACATACCTATCTATCTATATCTATTTTTATATAGATAGATACACAACTATTCCCTTCCTCCTTAGCCTACAGGGTGACAGTGGCTTACCTGAATCCCACACACAGGCCCCAGGAGACTGTAGGAGAATGGCTTCTTCTCACAGCTCAAAGGACGGTGGGGAAAACTTAGCAAAGTCATAACCTCTTTCTTCCTACCCTGGCAGGTAACGCATACTGCACCCACTTTTGTGGTTTCAGGTTTTGCAGCCTCTGGAACAAAATGAGCAGCAGGTACTTCAACCATGGTGACTGACCTGGCATAGCCGCCTATGCCAGCCCCCTGAGCCAACGTCAAACCCACGTCTTGTTCTGTTTGTTTAATAAATAGGAAAACGTTAATATCTAAAGGTGATGATAATATTTAGGTGTTATTTTATGTGGTACTGAATTAATGACTTTATGTAAGCTTCTTCCATTTATTAATATCCTTTTTCAATTTCACCCTGTGGCGTGTTAGGTTTGTTACTGCACATGGCCAGTTCCTATACCAAGCATTGTCACACCATTTTGTTCACAGCAGTAACTTTCACTCATTCTTATGTCGTTTCCATATACTAGCATGTTATACTGGCATAATCTAAACACCTAGATTATAGAGAGAGTATATATAGATGTGTATCTATATATATTTGTGTTCACGTATGTCTGTGTATATGTTTTCATATATGTGTGTATACATGTGTGTATATACATGTATGTCTTCACCTGCAGGAAATATTGTACAAGCAGACATATACAGAGGTGTTAGGCACACCACCCAAAATTCACTGAAAGACTGAAAGGCAAAGATTTTATAGCAAAGCTATCTAGCATTTCTATACCTTTTTAAAATTCCTAATAGATGGTTTGGTTGCATTTTCCCAGTTGTGTTGCATTTGTGAGAGATGGAAATTTTCATGAGTTAAAAAGGTTCCCGTATCAGTAAACTCTGAGTAGAACAGTAGAAAAACAATTCTGACTTCTGGCAAATGAGTTTCTACAGAAAATACTGAGCAGGGACAGGAACTTTTCATTTCAAGACCAGGGTTTGACTAAGTGAGAAGTGTTGTGTGACTGGTTCTTCATTTATACTAGTTATGAAACCGAAACCAAAAGAGCATTGGATAAACTATAAAAAGCTACCTTTGTTTCTGAAACAAGTAGAAGTTCAAGGGGAACAAGGGAGATGCAGCTCTGATTTGAAAGAGACAGATGACTTTGTTAATTATAGCTGTACATTTCCACATTTGCTCTGCTCTTCAGTACTACCAGGGCAGCACTCGCTTTACTCAGTTTCCCCTATGCACGGGCCATAACTTCCCCCAAAAAATGAGATGTGGCATTTGGACTCCGCAAGTTCTCATTTGGAATACAAGATACATGCTTTGCCTCTCTGTAGAAAGGGAGCAGGTAACGGACAGACATTCACTGCCTTGCTCTCCCTGCTTTTTCTGTTAGGAATCAGCTTTGACCGCAGTTTTGTGTGTATTTACCCAAGATGTCGCTGCATAGCTCAAAGCCAGGGCTGTTCAGATAAGCGGAAAGACCAGAAACACACAGCTATGCTGGCACAGTTCTCTGCCCTGGGGACACTGCCCACCTGCTGCTTCTCTCAGTACTGTTGTTCCGTCTCAGTTCCAAAATCTCAATTTCCAGGGGAGAAGGTGCTGTGTCTGAACATGCGACACAATCATTTCCATCCGACAAACTATTTCTCTGTAAAACATCAGCCCATGCATGGGACAGGACATGGTATTGACTGATCCCCAAACTCTCTGCTTCTATCATGGGAAAAGAGAACAGAGTTCAAAACTAAGCTTCATCCCTGCCCTGTTTTGTGGACAAAGAGGAAAAACTAGCTTGTACAATTGACTGAGTTTGGGCTTGAGAGAGACCCACCGAAACTATGCATCATATGTGTTTTGTTTGTGCTTATAGCTGTTTGTGTTTTCAGAACCTCCATCTCTTCTGAAAAACAAAGAGCTGACCTTTGTGCATTGCCTCTGTAAAGCACTCATGGTTGAATGCTGGTGCCATTCGAGTTGCTCAGTACCCGTCTTGGCTGATCAGGTTCCCCTCTCTTCCCCCCTGATAGTTTCATTTTCTGTCACCACAGAGGTAGCGTTCTTGCAGGAACGGTATACAATGTGACAGCCAAGCAATGGATGTCAGTGTGAACAAAAACTTACATATCTTTCAGGACATCTGAAGAGAGAGGTAATAGGGTTAGAGAGTTTAGTAAGTTCAGGTAAGTGTATTTTGGAGGGAGTAAAACACGCTCGGATGATTGACATTTCCCTCTCTCTCTGCATCTCAGTATGGTCTATTGGAGAAGGAGCTCCAGAAGAGACAGAAAAACGCGATGACTCCCAAAGATCCACTTTGTTTGTCGAGAAACCTCAGAGTGGTTCAGTGAGCGTGGGTAAGTGCTTAGAACCGAAATCAAAAGCCACTTCCAGAGAGACAGAGACTGAGGCAGATCCAGGAAGGTATGCGCCGTTCCTGTGACACCCAGCTTCTGCCCTCAGCTACAAGTACTTCCACTGATTCTAGCTGGATGTGAACTCCACTCTTTGACGGCAAAAAGGACTGTACGAAGAGAAGCGAAAACCAATTGTTTAATTCAAGACGAACTCAAAATCTAATAGTTTACCGAGCACAATGGGTAAGAGGTATAGTTTCTGGAAAAGAGAGCTGGTTACTGTGATGCTGCTGGCTGTACTGTTACTGATAAGTCAGGAAGATCTACCCAAAGGCCTGCAGCGTAGCTTAGAGATTGCTGGGTCAACTTTTGTACCCTACAGCTGTGTGTAAATTAGCAAGTAGACTAATAGGAGCAGCTCTGTAGGGAAGCTGGTAGGGTCATGCCCACTGTAACCATTCGGGGGGATTTGCTCTGGACTAGCTCTGGTTTAGTCCGGTGTCTATACACCTACTAGCAGTTGGAGCACAGGTAGTAAACTCTCAGAGCACATCTTTGGTTCTAATTTCATCTCAGAGGAATCCAGTTCAAGCACTGTGAGGACTTTCTGTGTTGTGAACCAGAGCATAGTATATGGGAACAGTTAGGAGGCTCACTTCCAAACTGCACTCCTAAGCCATACTAGCATGGTAAGGTAGCTGCACCCTAAGCAGGGTAGCAGGAACCGTGAGAAGTTCAGTACAAGTTACTTAATGTGTCTGCTGTATACTTGGATACACTAAGATGTGGTCAGATGGGGTTTTTTTTAGACATGCCTATCGTTTTTCTCAGTTTCTGAGTAGAAAAAGAGCATTTTGGGAGGATTTATTTGGAAAATAAATATAAGAAGTTAGCTGTATTCTCCTCTGGAGACCATGAATGTTAGGATGGAAACTCAGCAGGGGCTGAGCAGTGCTGTTCTGAAAATTGAGCTAACTTTTACTATTCCCAAATTATTGTTTAGAGAAGACTCTTTTCCCCTCCCTTCTCAGCTTAAAGAATTAATGATAGAAATGCATTAAGAGCTCCAGGCTTTCTTTTCCAGACTGGAGTTTATTCATGTTACAACTGCCTGGTAGCCTAGGAAATCCTGTGCTTTTTTTACGCAAGGAAATTCAAATATTGGGAACAATTCGCCCATGGCAACACGGAGTTTTGCCTCAACTAATTTATCCTGCTTCTGTGTGTCTCACGCTCCACATTGACATGGGCAGAAGGCTTCCAGACCCAAAATCATTAATCTCTGTAACATTGCAGTACTGTCATAGCCTCTGTGACTCCATCTGAGTCTTACTGTCGTGGTAGAGCTAGCACCTGGAGATTAGAAGGAGCAGTAGTAAAAGAAACTTGTGCAGACATGACTGACCAACCACATGTTCCTCAATGATTGCATTATTCTTTTCTCTTTTTAAAAGGTGGGAATATTACATTTATAGCCAAAGTAGAAGCCAAAGATCTTCTCCGAAAGCCAAATGTTAAGTGGTTTAAAGGAAAATGGATGGACCTGGCCAGTAAAGCAGGGAAGCACCTGCAGCTGAAAGAGTCCTTTGAGCGTCACACTAAGGTTCGTCTTTGCTTTTCCTTCTTACGGGGGCAAAGCTCCAAAGACAGCTTAGAGATCAGTTTAAGACAACAGGTAGAAATTCAAGAGCAGTGGATTCTAGCCCTGGCTTCCCCACGCAGATTTCAGTGATGATCTCTGACCCTGCACAGAAGGAGACTTTTCTGCTCTCCCGGTGCAGGACAAGTAGTGGTGGGGAAATCAAAGTTTTCCATTGCCATTTCTGGGTTCCAGGTTCTTTCCAGAGCCCTTTATTCGAGTTATTCCTTACTCCTGGTTTAGGTCTGAAAGACTAATCTTTTAACTTCTGCTTTGTGGAAATGTATCCCCCACATTAATGAAAAATTATGTTTGATTTTTAGATTCACACATTTGAGATGCATATCATTCAAGCTAAGGAAAACTACGCAGGGAACTATCGCTGTGAAGTATCTTATAAGGACAAGTTTGATAGTTGCTCTTTTGACCTTGAAGTCACTGGTAAGATTCCACTTGTGTCTGGAAAGCTTTATAAAGATTTCTTTTTTTTTAACCTGAAATGCCACCTAATTTTGTTCAGAACCTTTAAATGAAGTAATGCTTAAAGTGAACATTTTTAGCATAGAGCTCAGAGAATTCTAAGTATCTGTAATTTATTGTTTAAATGAACATTGGGATAGATAGCATGTGAGACATTTACCCAAAAATTAGAGAAGCTGGCAGATAAAACCAGATTCAAATCAGGCTCTGGCATGCAAGACAGAGAGCTAGGCTTGGGGCTATTCAGAGAGCGAGGCGTCATCTGGCAGCATCTGAGCAGAGGGACGTGGAGTGGTCATGGCTCGCCAGTGCTTTGCACCCTGTTCAGGCACGGTATGATCACGCTCCAGAAAGCTATTTTTTCTACTCTTCATCAAAATAACGAATAGCACAATGTGGAAAGCACTGGAGAGTTGTACTTTTGTCTAATTCTGTGTTATAAAAGGCCTTACTCTGGCAAACGTTAACCCACAGGCTTATCTTTTCCTTCGAGAGCAGCGCACGCATACCTGCACGGTCAGACTGAGAAAGATGGATGTCTGCCGAAATGCCAGGGCCAGCAGCCAGTGGACAAAATAGTTGTTCACCCTCATAAAGCACGTGCCTAGACCAGACTGTTCATTTGCCAGTCAAGGGAAACCGGTCACAGTTAAGGGGACATTTGATGGCTGACTGACAGCCTGAGGGGCATAGGTAGGGGGGGGTGTGTGTTCAGAGGCCAGCGAGGCAGGGGCCAGCCTGGCCGCACCCATTCACTGGCTGTGGATCAGAACCATTTAATCTGATTCAGGCTGGCACAAATGAGTAATTCACACAAGGGGGATTCATCCTTGCACTGAGAATCAGTATGAGTCTGTAGTTGTAGGGAAGACTGTCTCTTTCCTCTGATGCTGAGCGTACTGAGAAAGCGCAAGATGCAAGCAGGAGAGAAAGCGTCTGGAATGGGAAGACAAAAAGCCAGAGCCTGTGTATAGGCAGGAAGGGGATCAGCGAGAAACATCAGAGGGAGAGATCTCCTATGCAGAACTGCAATTAAGTAAACTTAGCTTAGCACTGAGCAGCTTTGCATTTATCAGAACTTAACGCCAAAGGAGCAGCACAAACTGTGGTCACGTAGCAGGAAGCTGAACAAATTTCATATGCCAAATTACATCAATTAAATAAATTATATTAATTTCAAATGATGTTTTTAATTCATGTATTACTGTTATTTCATAGAATCTTCCCAAGCTGCTCCATCCATTGACATCAGATCTGCTTTCAAAAGAAGGTAACTTCAAACAGTGATCCAATGAAGCTCCTCAGTAATGGATGCTGGTAGCATGCACAGAACTTGCAACAATCTTGGCAGACAATTGTATCAAGTATTTTTAAAAAATGTTTTTGTAAATATAGATTAAAGAAGTGGGGTTTAGGATAGTTGGTAGTGGGTAGAATGAAATAGTTACAACACATAGATAGTACATATGATATTAAATACTCTACTATGAAATTACAGTGTCATTGCTTTAACGGAAGATGGAATATTTAAGGCAATTAAATATCTGTTTCTTTAGAGGTTTTTAAAGTTGTATTTTAATTCACTATAATATTCTACCTTGTGTTTCCTGAAAATTGTCAGCCACAATATGAAAGTTCCTGGTCCCAATCCTGATTAAAAGCAGAGAGAAAATTCACACTGATTTCAAGAAGATAGAATCTGGCTTTATGTTATCTTACAGTAAAAAAGTGTGACATAAGGCCATCGTTACAGAAAAACTACAAATAATATATTGCAGAGGCCATAAGCTAAAGCATTGTGCCTGAAGTCTTTTCCTTTGTTAGTTACCTTTGTGATAAAATAGCAATTCAAACCAGTATAGATTGTGATAAAATACTAATTCAAACCAGTATAGATGTCATCTTTACATTTTATGGAGAAAATTGTCTTAGAAGTACAGAAGTATTCAGCATGAAAATGTTCTACAAACAGAAAATGAATGCAGTTTGTTGATTTACACATACAAGCAACGCTGTGATTCAGAAGTAACTGCTTTTGTTTAAAGGGATTTGATTTAAAGAGTAAATGCAAAAGATATTACATTCAAGGTGCACTCCTTTCTTGAGCATATTTTAAAAAAACCTGCAATAACTATTCTGCCCAAGCAGATGAGGATATCTGAATATTTTCTGATTTTCTAAGTAATATCTTGCATGTAAAATCTGGAATGAAATATTGGCATCATTTGACTTAACATTTGCAGGATTTTGCCCTTAATTTTTACAAATATTAAGGGCATTTCCTTTGTCTATATGTGCTTTATAATAAGGTATTACTGCTTAAAGTCACATTCTAGAAAGAAATGCACCTTCACAGGACTGTGATTCTATCTGTAAAAATGTTCAATGTACTGTTTCTTCTTTTTTAAACTGATTTCTCCCTTCATCTAGAGAAAGGTTAAATCTTAAGTTTAATGCTTTGTAATCAGTATTTGACACAGCTATGCATTGTTAAAAGCACCACTCAGCAATGCAAATCTTTGTTTTATATTCATAGCAAAAGATCAGCACAAGCCCTTTGTTTTTATACACATACACTATGGAAACAAAGCTCGTGTTGACCAGCTCAGAGTTATTTGTGTTACTGAAATCTAACACAAATGTTGGCAAATTTATGTATGCAGTTACAAAAATTTGTCATCAAAGTATAATAACAGTCAATACAAACCTTTGTGTTATTTTTCACAAGTGGCTAAGCAAACATGGTTCGTGTGAAAAAGAATACAAGTTTGTGTTGATTTTATACCATTATTTGTGTGTCTGGACAGTGTTGAGTATGAGAGACATGTAGAGCGTTTGCAATGTGTGTTGTCCAAGTCTTCCTGTATTAAACAAAGATTTGATCTTTTTCTATTAATAACAGCGGTGATGGACAAGACGATGCAGGAGAACTTGACTTTAGTGGTCTCCTGAAACGTAGGTGAGAACCAAGTGATGCAGTGAGCAGGTGTGGATTGCAAACCACTAGGTTCGCACACAGAAAGAGTCAGGTGTAGCATTAATAGCTTCTTAAGAATTTTCTGACCTTTCATTTTTTTCAATGTTTCTAACTATCATTCTCATAATATAATATGCAAATGTTCAGTTAATTGTACCTTTAAGTGTGCAAAAAAGAAACCTCAGATTTGAGTGCACTGGGAAAAAAGTGAGCCACAACCTAAAGAGGCCAATAACATTTAGTTTACTTGCTATTTCTTTTGTGTTTGCATGGAAGGTAGAGGGGGGGAATTTCCTACTCAGGGATGAGCAGTTCAGAAAATTGAGTCTGGTGCAAGAGTAAAAAACTGCAAGGGTTAAATTTACCTCTTAATTTGATTTTATAAGCATCCTGATATGAAAAATCATATATCATGCCTTCAAACCATGGACATTGGTATTAATTATTTGTAGCTTTCTGTTTCAATATGTGCACACAAATGTTCAATGGTGTATTATTCAACTTAAATGCTGTGATGGAGAAAAACTTGGGCACATGTTTCTCTGGTTTGCCTTGAAAATTCAGTGTTATGATAGTTACGCCTCTAGCTATTTCAGACCTTAAACACAGTTTAGCCTTTAAACAGGTTAAGACAAGATAGTTGTCATCATTTTTTTTTAATTTATCACAGAAATTTTATATGCCATGGAAATCAATGGCAACTGACCATAGAGAATTGGAAAAGGAATTAAATCCTTCATCCCTTTTACCACTTACTCTGAAAGAGGAAAACCCAATATGCAATATTAGTTACATAAAAAGTTCACAACGGCCTCATGGGCTATGATGGTGAGGATAGTATTTAAGCAACTAAAGCAAACAGGAAAGGTTGAAGGTAAAAGTAAGCAGTGAAAGAATTACCCGAACCAATTCAAATCCACCAGGTCTTTGGTTTTTTAATCTTCTCATCCCTAATTAGGATCTTTAGTTTGACTTTTTATCATACTAATACAACTTACCATGACAGTTCTCATGACTGCCTGTGGGGTGTTTTATTAGCAACATGAGAGTTGCATGTAAGAGGTCTTGGTGTTTTTGTGGAAAGAGAAATGTCATTTAAGAGTCATTATCACTTCACTAACAAGTAACTCACATGTTCTGTAAGATGAATACTGTATAGTCATATAAACATAGTACGCCTATCGTGTGGCTAATGGGCAAAGCCAACTTTTAGTTTTTAAACACCATTATTTGATATTGGTCAAATTGGTTCATCACCTCCTTGCTTCAGGCACTGAAATGCAACCTCATACTTCTGAGCTTAATTGAATAAGATTGCTAATTAAGCTCCAGTGTGGATATTAATATCCATTTTTATGAAGACAAATATGTTTTCATTTCAATTTTTTTAAGAGGCAATGTTGCAGGTGCATTCCTTCTCTTTCGTATGGTTATATGTTATTACCAAGGAAAGAGCTAGAACTTTTCACCTGTGGTGCATACTACTTGAAACATGTTTTTAAAAAAAAAACCTAAATGCATAGAATCTATATACTGCCTATTTTCTAATTTCGTGCTGGTCTTGCAGGACGACAAACCAGTTCTTATCTCAGTAAGCCACTCTCTGACTTACTCCACAATGCAATGGATCAGTAACGGCACGAAATTCCAAAAGGCACAAGATCTTTAAAACACTCAAACATTTAGGTCCTTTTTTTTTTAAAAGTACATCTTTCAACAAAATGCACATTTTTGGGGAAAAGATCTGAAAGCAATTTTGTAGAGAGGTCAATCTGCTTAGGAAATGCCAAGCTTTGTTTGCCCACTACCCACAGCAGAAACTATTGTGGTCTCAGAATAAAGCTGGTTTGCTCTAAGTGTCATAATTTATTCTCCAGTTACGCAAGAGGAAAAAGAGTCTGGAATTAATTATTTCAAGCTGGTTGAAAATCAGGATACTCTAACTGATCCTCATTCTCAACTACTGCCTGATTTAAAGGGGTACATTATCTCGATTCCCATGGAGTGTACCTCTCCTTAGCACGGAGAGGCATCGCATGGCAAGCGGCCAGCCCCAGGAGAGGAGAATGCCACCCCACGGGGCGTGTCAGCTTTTACATGTTTGCAAGCTGTCTCGACTTGCCGCCATGCAGAAGGAATCTCACTGAAACGCCAGTGTTTGCTGTACATAGTCACCCTCCAGAAAGCATGAGCACAGATAAAAGTAAAAGGAAAGAAACGTAGAATTACACACCTGAGACTGTCTAACAATAATTCTAAGATAACAATGTAAGTATTTCAAAGACTCCTCAGTGAGAAGCTTTTTTCCTTTTTAAAATAACACTGGCATATTATGAAAATTAATAAACCTTATGGATTAAGCAGCAAAACAGTCTTCCACAGTTCCTTATCCAACCATGCAGAGATTCTCAGGACCCCCAGTGCTATTTCTGTATATGTTAAAGAAAATTCTCTGTCAGACATGATAGAGCTCAGCTCTAACAGTGTCTCACTCCAAAGCTCAGTCGTTTTATTTCTCAAATGTTTATTTTCTCACTCTGTTCTCAAAAGTACTGATTTCATTAGACCAACTAGATCAAATCAGAATGATCCTGGTCTGATCCTAATGACTTTACAGGAAAAAATGTCTAGATTTCTGCTCCAGTTCCTGGATTGTTCTAGCAGTTCGCTTTTTTGAGCTAAGCTGTCAATCTCAAAAATTATCATTTTGTTTAGGATGCTTCCATTATTCTCGCATGTAATGGCTGCCATTGTGAAAATAATTATACTTCTCTTTATTGGTTGTCTTAGCCTGGAATTGCACATAGTAAATACGATATTGAAAATTCTGTATAAAGGTGATGCTATTCACACAGGCCTCTGAAAACACTTCCTGCTCTTAAGACTGAGATAAACATGGAAGCCAACAGACCCATTTTGCAAGTCCATGTTCAGTTCCTATCCATATGCCAATTTTAAGTAACTCTGAGAAGCACTGGTGTAACTACAAACAGACCCGGATTCCCTTGGATTTCGATGTCCTTTCATTAGTCACCCCTAGTAGCAGTTACAGGGATTCAGGGTTTGAAAGCATTTTTATATAATTACGAAATGTACGGATTAGACTCAGATCTCAGTGGTGCCACCATAAATTGTAACTGATTCCACTCAAGTTACCACAGATAAAACTGACTTAAGTGGGATTAGCCCATATGCTATCATAGTACTACGTTTTCAAACTGTATTGTTTTTTTTAAATAATGAAGCAATATAAAAACTTTCATAACTGATTACACGAGAAAAGGACAAATTAAAACCTATATCCAAATTCTGTCTTGAAGAAGTGTAATGTAACACGTGAATGTCATTCTGAGCTATTCCACTCATACTGAGTGAAATAAAAAAATATAACGGCGGCCCTCAAATTTTGATCAAAACATTTCTAACCTCACCATAGATTCAGCTTCACCTTTTTTTATGGTGTGATAAAGCCTCGCTAACTCCTCTCCCATAATTTTATTTTGCTACTGATAGGGAGATTAAACAGCAAGAGGAAGAACCTGAGGTAGATGTGTGGGAGCTCCTGAAGAATGCGAATCCCAGTGAATATGAAAAGATTGCTTTTCAGTATGGTATCACTGACTTGAGAGGCATGTTAAAGCGTCTGAAGCGCATGCGCAGGGAAGTGAAGAAGAGTGCAGGTATGGATAAGGCAGAATATTCTTATGTTCAGTAGTCAAACATCAGCGTCCAACTTAAAAACCCAAACTTGCTTAATTTCCATGTAAGGGGACTTGCACACTACAACTCGAGCCTTATTACTGCAAGGAGTTAATAAGAAGGCGGCTTTGGTCCGCTGTGGTTAGTGTAAACACCCTATCCCATTCAGTGCTTACCAAAAGCGTCCCTCCCTCTCGGCCAAACAGTAGTTCCAACTGGAACAAAGTCCCCCAGCTGTCTGGAAAGGTGTTACCTGATCAAACAGTATGGAAATTAGACCTTGCGTTATCATTAATATCTTCTGCTCTAAAACAGAGTCACTCCAAACACATTATTTGCTCTTCATAATTTCAGTTTGCACTTAATCTGACATTCCTCTGAAATCCCAGCTGTACTAAAACGCCTCCACCCTGCACTGGGTGAGGACATTCAGGCCTGTCTTTTCCCATCTACCCTACTGAATAGTATGAGTGGTGTAATACATACATAAATATAGATATGTGTTCATATGTGTGTGTGTATATATATGTGTGTATAAAATACATGTATATGTTGCATAATATGTATACACACACACACATATAAATACAACACACTATTCATTATACTATTGTGGCATTTGCATGTTCCTGGAGAGCATGCAAATCTATACATCTGCTGTTCCACTGGTTTCCTGGGGGAGTCCCTTTTGTGTAGGTGAAATCCTCCACAAATCCGGCTGTAATCCAGCTGCCTAATGTACCCTCTCTCCTCATCCATTACTTCACACCATAACATGTGTTATGTTACTACACATTAATTTTTATTTATATTTTTCATTTGCTGGTATATCTGATTCTGGCCACAGTTGAGGGAGGGAGAAATGGAGTCAATGGGCTTTGGCTGAGCCTCTGGGGCAGTTTCTGTATCCAGTGGAGCTCTCTAAATGGTTGAAGCCCACGGAAACTCCTCACCCTCCCCCAGGAGTCTGGAATGGGGCTGGAAGCTGGGGCAGGAATTGCGCGGCTGGTAGGAAGTGCTGCTCCCTACTCAGGGGCATCACGTAGAAGTGCCTGAATGTTTTACTGGGAAAGAGGCATCTCTCAGCACCTGGGACCAGTCTGTCTGGTTCCTCAACCCTGTTGAGTAGAATGGAGCTGCCAGCCATATCAGGATTTTTCAGTGAGGTGCTCTAGGTGTTGGGGAAAATGTCTATAGTAGTGATAGGACGAGAGTAGGCTGTCCTTCCCCTCACACCACCTTTACTATAGATTGGAAACTTTTACACTGCAACAAGATACATAAAAAGTCCTTTTCAGATTTAACAACTCTACTCCTGTTGTGTCAATATATTCAGTCTCCTGCAATCAGACATATGCATGATATAAATCTTAGCAGAAATTGATTACTTAGATGTGGGCAATTTGTTTGAGGCACTGTTTATTTATTTATTTTTGAGCCACAGATATCTGCTCCCCTGGTCTAACTTTTGTGGCTGGCAATATCTAAATGTTGATGTTAAAGTGTTTTGAAATGTTTGAGTTGCACCTGGCTTTACCTTGCCTAGAACAACTTGGCCTACATTTGCGCATCTCAAAAACCTTTTTGAGAAGCCCCATTAGGATTCACAGACTGACAACTTTTGCCTGGTTTCAAATATTTTTGCAAAAGTTTTGCAGATGTAACATTTATCACAAGTGGAACTGCAATGTACACCTTGCAACCTATAGAAAGAATCAAGAAATCTGATTTGGCTTTTAGACCAACCAATGAGTTTATTCTAACAATGAGAAGCTCAATAGGAATTTTAGCTTAAAATTCCCTGTTAACTTGAGTGGTGGTGCTAATAGAGAAGTCCTTTGTAACAGATTCGTTGTAAATGATTCCATGGCACCGGCTGTATACCATTTTATTCTGACATAGCACTTCTCAGCAAGCTGTCAAAGCTACTTCTACCCAATCCTATTCAGAATACAGTCACACTGCAAAGTCAAGAAGAGATACTAGCTTGAACTTGGTCAGGATAATCAGATCCACATAGCTTTGCACTTACTCTAATGTTTCTAGAAAATAAACTGATTGATGTGGACTAGCCTAAGAAATGAGAGTGATGCATAACATTGTGGCATGTTTTCTGACAGTTTTCATGAGATTTATGCAATGTAATTTCAGCATTCATATTCTTACTTGTTTTCTGATCTTCTTTTATAATAACACTTGGCTTCCACAACAGCTTTTGCCAAAGGTCTTGATCCTGCATATCAGGTGGACAAAGGAGGTAAAGTAAGGTTCATGGTGGAGCTAGCAGATCCAACAGTGGAACTCAAGTGGTATAAAAATGGCCAAGAAATACGACCAAGTGCAAAGTAAGTGGTTTTATTGTATGTAAGCAATAAAATGGGTACACACGTACTTCCTTGACAAGTGTGTTGCATAGATCTATCTCTTTGCTCAGGTTGCACCAATTTTATTTCTGGATTTTATTATACGTGAAAAGTATGGAAGTGATGTTATACTGCTCATGACCCAGAAAAGTCCGCTGTATGTTAAATCTTAATGCAGATTGGCTCCTCTGCCTCAAGAGAAAAGAATTAAAGATCCTCAACAAAATATGGAGCCATTTCCTACTCAGTTTTTAAAAAATCGGGAAGTACTCTGAGTAAATAAATCTCTTGTCCTCTGTACTTTGCCTGAAGGAGGTCAGAATCTTCCTACAGTAGTTGTAACATCACATACTTACCCACCTGGCTCACAAACCACCTGAGGAGAGGGGAGCAAGGTTTGTCTCACCTTCCACTACCCAGTTAACGCTCACACTGAAGTCAGTAACCTGCACTAGCTCAAAGTGACTTCAATCATGTGCCACAGGTCTAGTGTACTCAAGCTTCTTCATCATCTGTATCACCTGCATATTGGTTTACTCTCTGGCTTTACCTAGAAGAAGTGGCTTTCCAGGTGCAGACACTGGAAAGTACAGGTAGAGCAATGGCTGGAACTTGAGCCCAGTCCCTAGCGTGGGCTCAACCAGCGTGCAGAAAATCCCATTCCACAGTCAGACGCAGCTAGGAATGATGATGTGCAACCAGTAATGCAGAACAATGTAATGTTCCTCAAATATTGCTCAGCAGCACAAAATCCTAGCAACTTTCTCCTCTGGCCCTGTGAAAAAACAGTAATTAGCAAAAACCCTCTTACAGAGAAGGGGCAGATTTCCCTCATTCTGTTGCTGCAAAAGTCAATGAAGGATTTTGATTAATATTCATCATTGACAAAAAATGCATAATAAAGAGGGTACCTTTTCTTTAGCCCCTATATCTGCCATGAGCAGTTCAGAACTGTTTCGCAGGCAGCTATATGGATACCTCTCCAGTCGAAGGACCTGGATTGAACGGTCCAGTGCATTTCTTCCAGGCTGCTGAAGCAGCTGTCAGATGCTAATGAGCTTTGGTCATTACAAACCTGGAGAAGATCTAAACTGGTGACATAAAGGTGAAAGGCTCCATATCCCATTACCAAAACCCCATATCCCATTACTGATCTCTTGTGCCATCTGGCCTACCAATAATATTAACTTCTTAACTTCGGCTATTATTATACTTCACAAAAATGTTAAGAGTGTTGGAATGAGGATGGTGTCCTGTTACTGGTTATTTTAATCTTTACTCATCTAGAGTTTCAGACTCCATTTTATTTTACATCCTTCAGAGCCTGCTAATTTTTTTATTTTTTCATATCACCCAAGCCTGGGATTTTGAAACAAGCCAGAAGATGCTCATTGTCACTCTACACCATAGCTCTTTTTGCTAAAAAGTCTGTGACAGTTCTGTTGAATCTTGGAAATTGCTTCCCAGGACAATTTTTCCAGTTCTAAGTAAACCCCAGGATTTTCACCTCTAATAATCCCTAAAGCACTTTCTACATAAAACAAAAGGGGTCCAGCAGTTTTGCTAATGTATCTTTGCTGCATTCCTGTTCAAACAGATACATTTTTGAGCACAAAGGTAACCAGCGAATTTTATTCATCAATAACTGTACGATGACAGACGATGCTCGCTATTACGTAACAGCTGGTGATGAGAAATGCTCCACAGAACTGTTTGTGAGAGGTAACTACATCAGCTTGCTCCTGTTTCACCTGCTGTAAATTGGTGTGGCTTCTCTGACTGCAACAGAAACTAACAGGGAAGATCGGGTTCAGTATCTTTTTGTATTTGTATTAGCAGCCCTTAGGATCACTCTGTATTTTGGTGAACCCTGACCATTTTTTTAACTCATCCTGTATTTAGTAATTTAGTGAAAACCCTGAAATGGGGATATAGTTGATTTCATACTGTGCATAGTGGGGCTGTGGTCCCCTTCATAGTTTTAAAGACATTTTGGAGACTCGTTTGTCATAGTGTTGGCTTTCCCTGACACCACACTCAGGTACCTGATGACCCTGATAATCTTGGTCCAACAGATCTGTTTCAAATACCCTCAGACCAGGCTTTCTAGCAGTTAGTTTTCATTCCATCTGCACAGATTTAAGGAAAGACTCTATCAAAAGCTACGAATGGGTGTCCATTTCTTCACCCTTTTTGCTCCCACAGTGTTGATAGTCTTACTGATAATATTCATGGCATTACTCACACATGCACAACAAAACAAACAGAAAAACAAAACCTACAGTGAGAGAAAAAAAATCATCAAATATTTCAGAAAGCTATTTAAAATAATGGAGCACATTGCCTGTATAAATATCATAGGATAACTGTTGTACAATCTCTTGCTATTGAAGAAACTTGATTGGAATGGGTTGAACCAATAAGGGCACCTCGTTATGTCATCGGGTCACCTTATTGTGCCTAACGAGCTACAGGACCTAATGAAAACACAGCTTTATGAGAGGGATCTGTGGGAGGCAAGAGGGGAATGTCAGCTTCTCATGTCAACCTGCCTGGACAAACTGTCAATAAAAAGGGATGCAAGGCAGGTATTAATCTGAACAAATGTTATTTTTTTATTTAGTACATTTCCTACTAGCATCTTAATTAGCAATCGCTTTTCTGATTTAAGGCAAAAAAAGCTGCACTGAGACTGATATTAGAATTTTAAAGTAGTATCGTCTTCTATAGCATGATTTTGAAAACCTCTTTCACTTAGTTTTCTCTCTCAGATTGTAAATGTCTAATTTTCTCTTTCCAAAGATCCTCCAATTTTGGTGACCAAAGCCCTGGAGGATACCAGTACCTATGTTGGTGAACGAGTGGAACTGAGCTGTGAAGTGTCTGAGGATGATGCAAATGTGAAATGGTAAGCCATGCTTTGAACAGATACTGTTTTCCTTGAGAATAAAACCTAGAATATTTTAATTGTAGGCAAAAATGTGGACAGCTTTTTTCTATACCAGTATACCTGAAAATATCTCAAGAAAACATTATTCAAAAATGTAGCAACAGCAAAAATATCCTTACACATTCATGGATGAGGTTTTCTTAACCTTTTCTTGTGCCTTAAGACTTACAAAGTCTTCTCTGGAAGTTTCCATCTATGGGAGTCTTATCTGCACAGGACTTCTATTGGAAAAATAATGATTCTTTGTTTTCCATTAGGTTTAAAAACGGTGTAGAACTTACCAATGAACCTAAATCTCGGTATCGAATCAAGGTTGAGGGTAAAAAGCACACTTTGATCATAGAGGAAGCTGCAAAAAATGACAATGCAACTTACTCAGTAATGACAACTGGAGGCCAATCAGAAGCTAAGCTTTCTGTTGATTGTAAGTATCATCCATCTTGCTCTTGAATTTGTATGTCACAGTTTGCTAGCTCCCAGAAATAAATAATTTGCATGCCTTTTCCTGGGGGTTTAAAGGGAGGCTTAACCTCCAGACCAATTTCTTTGCTGCAAATCTCCAGAACAGTGACTTTCCTTCAGGCGCTTTTTGCAGTAACAGGCACTGAACTAGTCCTGCTTGAAAACTTTCTGTCACTCCGTTAAGATGGAAAACACAGCTATCCATCCAAAGATATAATAGGTCAACAAAGTGAAATTTTCAAGGGAAGTATCTGCTTTTCTTTAATCCTTTCAGGTTTTCACAGGAAAGCCAAACCAAGGCTTTTTAGCCAAAATCAGAAAAAAAAGGTATGTTGGAAAAAATAAGAAGTTCTACAACGAGGAATACTGTTAACAGGCATCAGGGTCACTTGACCTGAACTCAGGCACAAACACATGCCTATGTACCTCCCTTAGGATTGTTTGTGCAATATCTCTTTAAAATGCTTGTGGGTTTCAGCGAAATGTATGTGCCCATCCTCTAAAGTTATCATACATTATGCATAATCATACACTGGTTTGTAATATTTATACTGCTTTTGACTATTTTGTACAAATTGGCATCTTAAGCACAACCAATTCATGCTGTTCTATTATCAAGTTGGAAATTATCCTCCATGGCTATTGAGCTCCGTCATCTTTCCTCTCATGCAACTTCTTCTGAGGATTTTCCAACTGGCTTACTATAAAACGCTGCTTTTCCCATCACTCTTTGTTTCCTATGTCGGGTTATAGTCAGGGGTATTTACTGCATACACATGGTACCGTGCGTTCAGCCTGGACTTTGGTCTACAGCATCTAATCTGCCAGAAAGTGGAAGTGAACTGGGGCACCAGTTCTCAGACTCAAGTTGTACAAAAGCTAGTAATATCTGTGGCTATTTGTAGGGTGAGTTAAGGCACTTTAGCAAACGTGAGAACAAGTAGTGTATGAGGTTATGCTTATTGGCCAGTCAGCCTTTGCTACCAGCCTGACAAAACAGATGGAGAACTAGGGTCCCCACTTGTGATGAAATACTTTGGTAAGTCTCCAAATTATCTCAGATCAGCTGGGAGAGCTATGAGAGCAGTTAGATTGCTATTAGATCACAGGAAAGGTGGGTTGTAATCCCTTCTAGTGCATAGGTCTGGGGACAGAGGTCTTTCACTTCTTGAAAGTTTCTTACTGGACTCTGGGGGATAGAAACACCCTACCTCCAGCACCTAAACACCAGAGAGGGGACAGCATTCAAATTGTGCTCCTGGGCTGAGTTCTTCTACTGGCAATATCCATGGAGTTTCCCCAGTCAGGGCATGGGTATTTTGGATCACCTTTTCTAAGGCATCAGACTACATTGAAAAGAGGTTAACTTATGTAGCTTACATGCACATATTACTGGTATTCGGATCTGAGAACTTTATTATTGGAGGCATTTTTCTGATTTGAAGATGTCGTGGTTTAACCCCACGCAGCCACTCACCCCCACCTCCAGTGGGATGGGGGAGAGAATCGGGAGGGCACGAGTAGGAAAACCCCTGGGTTGAGATAAAACAGTTTAATAATTGAAATAAAACAAAATAGAACAGTAATAGTAACAGTGAGAACAACAACAATAACAGAATATACAAAGCAGGCGATGCACAATGCAACTGCTCACCGACCACGGACCGGGTGTCACGAACGGGGGGCGAGCCCCCTGATGTGGGTCGGGCCCCCCCCCCCCCCCACCTGGTTTTTATACTGGGCATGATGTCACATGGTATAGAATACCCCGTTGGCCAGCCGGGTCCACCACCCCGGCTGTGCTCCCCCCTGCCCCCCCGGCGCAAGCACCACTCCGCAACAGCCAAAGCATCAATGGGCCATCAACGCTCCTTTCGTACCAAACCCAAAACACAGCACACCCCCCAGCCAGAACCAGGACAGAAGACTATTGTGATGACTAGTAGCAGCTCCACGACAGAATCATGAGCTATTGTTTGATATTAATATCTCTGCTTCTGTTTTCCTAAGTGAGACCACTGAAGATATCACTTGCACTAGAAGACCAGACGGTGAGGCTTGGACAGGAAATCCACCTGAAGTGTGAGATATCTGAGAACGTGCAAGGGAAATGGTACAAAAATGGGCAACTGGTCGAAGCTAGTGACCGTGTAAAGCTTTATCACAAAGGAAGGTAAGCCTGTTGTGTATTTGCTTGACTTGATGGAATGACACTGTAGAGATGTGCCAATATGTGAGTTACCTCACTGAAAATTATCTGGTAATCAAGCCTAACCTCTGTCCCTCAAACATATTTATTTTTGTCATCATAAATGCCATGTCTGCTTGCCCCCTTTCATCTTGTGTCTTTTGGCTGTGTAGGACAATAATCAAATCCTTGATCCATCTAAGTTCAAGCTATTAATTTTTCTTGACATTGCTGTTGCTGTTGATATTAAGTAGTAAGGTAAAATAATTGTTTGAAAAAAAAAAAAAACAACAATACCAGGTCCTACCTTTAACCACATCCTCTTTACTTCAGCTTAGCAGACCATTCATACAGCTGGGAACTGCACTTGTGAAGATGCTCCTAAACAAGCTATGAAATGTTTGCACTGATTCCATAATGCTCACTAAGTCGCAGTAAGGGACAAGTGCCAGCTGTGCAATGACCCCTTGGATTGACATAAGGTGAAGGAGCTCCCCACAACCCATGTAGGCCCATAGGGTGAGGTGAGGAAAAGGGGAGCAGGAAGGGCACAGAGTCCTACCTTGAACAAAGCTTAGCCACAGCAGGTGATAGGAGAGCAAAAATATCATCATACTGGAAGACACAGTTAGATAGTAAGAGCAGCATATGCTTTGCTCATCCATTTCTTTATTCAGGCAAGCAAATAGTAAATTGGATCCTGTTACAAAGATGGTCTAACAAAAGTCAGAATACTCTCACAATGAGATCACCTAAAGATTTCTTCTTGAACAACTAAATTATAATCTAATGGCAGCAGCGCAGAATCCCTGTATCGAGATTACACTCCTGTATTTTCCTACTTCTGTGTTCAAGCAAAAAAATATTAGAATTGGTTACATTATTTGGTGGTTGTCTCAATATTTTGTACAAATCACAAAGTATTTAATCAGCTAAAATACCACTAAGCAGCCAGCAAAGGATTTTTAGTCAGTGATTTTACACGCTTGCATAGATCTCCTAAACTTTTCACAGATTTTTTCCTTATAGATTCAAGCAGTCTTCAAAAATAATTTACATTGATTTCTTTTTCAATTTTTTACAGAATCCACAGATTTGTTATAGCAAGCGCTGCTGTTGATGATGAGGGTGAATACATGTTTGTACCAGATGCCTATAATATTAATATTCCATGCAAAGTACATGTTGTGGGTAAGTATATGGCACAATGACTTATATATAACATCTCTTTCTCTGACCTTTTGAAATTAAAAGCAGTGCGAAATATCCTTGATTACAATCACTTTGTTTCCTCTGAGCAGGCATCTACCACAGAAAACAGAGCGGCTGCTTTGGTAAAGTGCAAGCTAGTCAGAGAGCACTTTGCCTCTGCTCAGGATCTGCTCATAGTTTACAAGCCTGGGGGAGCTCCCGGGGAAAGCTACTTGATGTTGAATTCCTAAACCTAAACCACTGCTAAGAGTTTGTGTAAAACAGCTGTTGCTATCCTCTTTTCAAATATATAGCGTTGTTGTCTTTGAAGAATTAGCTTGCTGACATTTCAAAATGTGATTTGGTTTGGTAAAAGATTAGTAAATTAGGTACATATTCCCTAAATGCACCAAATTATATCTAGAGAGTGAAATGTTTCTGATCAGTTTTTACTCACTTAGCAAAACAGAAGTCTTGTTAATGATCCCAGTCACTCAAACAAAAATAAAACAAGGCATTGACTCTTCCCACAATAATACGTCACTAGCTTTTAACTGCAACTAGTGACTTGGAAGTCAAAAGGAGAGCAATATAAATGCCCAGAGTTTTAGAAAATATGGTTTGTAATCGCAACTGAAAGAAATGGGATTAGGGAGAATGAAGAGGGAAGGGCTACTGGAGGGTATGCTCACAGATATAATCTTCCAATACATTAAAAGAAGTTGTAAGAGGATATTCATCAGTTGTTCTCCAGACACATGCGGTACAACAAAAATGACTACTTCATTTTCAGAAGAAGGATTTGGGTTAAGAAAACTTTTAAACTGTAAGAACAGTGATGTCTGAAGGGTGAAAGCTCCAGGTGTCGAAGAAAGCCTGCAGTGGAAATTCTCAAGAGCCATTTAGAGGAAATCTCTCTCAGAAGTTACCTAAATATGCATAATTCTGCCTCAGGAAGACAGGGTTTTTTTATGGTCTTACTATGCCAAAATTTCTATGCATCAGACAACTATATTCTTCAAAAAAAATTTCTTCACAAATTTTCTTCCAAACAAAAAATCAATTGACTAAAAATACTAAAATACCAGGAAAATACAAAACATAGAGCATGTTTCTCTATGTTGTACACCTGTGCCAGGTCACTGAACTCTCAGAGTGGCAGCCACATGGCAAATCTGGACACTCTCTCCTTTTTCAGATCCTCCTAAACTCCACCTGGATGGTCTTGGGGAAGACAACACTGTGACAGTAGTGGCAGGAAGCAAACTTCGACTTGAGATCCCCATCACTGGTGAACCAACTCCAAAAGTCATGTGGAGTAAAGGGGACAAGGTACATTGTCATTATACATGTTTCTTTAGCTTAACAAGGGGCCTTTTACTTCAAATAATAACCTTTAGCCTTGTGAAGACATTGATTTTAATGGCAGAAACTAAGGAGGAGATGCATTTTCTCTAAAAAAACTCTCCTTGCTCAGAAATGAATGGTAAAATGGATAAATACTATTTAGTATCTTTTGGGTCTTTTTGAGGAAAGGCTGAAATTAACAAAGGAAAAAAATACGGTTTTGCTATAAATAAATTGTAAAGGAGAGGGACATGTGAGATGCAGAAGAAAACTAGTGAAAATCTACCAAATGTCTACTTCTTCTGTACATACTGCCCAGAATGGCTGCCAGGTTTTGACAGGAAGCCATGGTATGGTCTGGTTTTGGAAAATGAATGATAAATTCTCATGGAGTGTCAAGTCTCAAATGAAACAATAGGCTGGGCAATTGGTGTCTTGCATCCGGTGTCTTAATGCAAAACTTTGTACAGATCAATCCCTGGCTGTGTAATACCAAAAAGACACTTTTCACATTTAAAATTTCATTGTGGTATGTGGAAGCTGGAACATTATTGTTACTGGATTCATCAGACCTATCTGGTCAAATCTCTGACTACTATTTTTCAAATATTAATTGTAGTATCACCACTGTGGACTTGTCCAAATAGGGAATTATTCTAGGAGAGCTCTTACTCCAAAGTATGTGCCAGCATTTGAAATCTGTGAGGACAAACTACTGACCATTACAATCACTCTGACCTTTAAACTGAACGAATTATGTTTTGATCTGACTTTTGGGAGAACCCACTACTCTCTTTCCATCAAATTAATGACAGGTAGTGATGACAAAAGCATGTCCTTGCTCACAGGACAAGTAAGCCTAGTGCCTCTTCCTTTGAGATGCAATGGCTGAACTGAGTACTAAACAGTTACCGTATTTTGAAGTCCCTCAGATATTTTGTCATTTTTGTGATCATTAGGTAACTGAAATTCTGAGCTTTAGTGTGTTTTTTCTTATGGTCGCTTTAGTATTTTTGCTGAAGTGTCCTGTACTGCATTTGAATTTTGATTTTTGAGCATTTTGATTCTCAAATCCAGAAAATATGACTTTTCCCTTGCTTACTTTGTTTCCTAGTATATCACAGACAGTGGAAGAATACGGGCAGAAACATACCCAGACAGCAGCTGTCTGGTCATTGATACAGCTGAGAGGGAAGATTCAGGTCCGTTCAGAATAACGTTAAAGAATGAGGCTGGAGAGGACACAGCTCTAATCAACATTAAAGTGGTTGGTAAGTCATGTGGAACAGTGCACATGAGCCATGTCTTTTATCACAGCCCTTTTCAATAAATGTTCCTCGAAGAACCCTGCTTTTCTGCAGCCCAAGAGACAAATTCTTCTTCCTCTACCTGAAGGGTCTCTTCTGTAGACGCTGTCCTCCCTAGCTACCAAACTGTTGTAGATTCTCAGAAAACTTCAATTTCCCTGTTTTTCCCCATTTTCAGATGTGGAATTGAGGTGCAAGGATACGAAGACCCAGTGTTACTGAAGGACATAGGAGCTTAGCATGGGATTTAAGTAGGATTGAATTATCACCCCGCTGCCACCTCACACTGCAAGGGCCAAACTTGTGCAGTTGCCTCAGGCTGCCCTTAACACTCTCCGTTCTCCATTCTCCATGTGGCTGTGGGCCCTGTCTTATCACCTCAAGTGCCCCTCAAGTGTCTTGGCTATGCTGAAGAGCTTGGCACTTATCCCTTCCCAACCACCTGCCAGGATCCACAAAGACCTTCTTTCTCTCTCTCCTCCTCATTAGGAACTCCTGTTGCACTTCGAAAACGATTCAGATTTGTTTCTTATTTGACATTTTTTATTTCCACCTATGCAAAAAGAAGGAAGATTTTTTAAATAATAATAATATTTACTCTGCTTACAACAGATGTCCCTGATCCTCCTCAGGCACCAAATGTGACTGAGGTGGGTGAAGACTGGTGTGTTATGACCTGGGAACCTCCAGCAAATGATGGTGGATCACCCATCTTAGGTACATACTCTTCTTTTTTTTGTGGTGATGTTCTAATACAGACAAAAAAAAGAAACCCCAAATAATGGACGTCATAGGATCAAAGTTTAGCTCAGGCCCTGCAGAGTTGCACTCTGAGTATCCAGCTGCAAAAATGTTCTACCCAATCTTCGACTTTATCGGATACCTGTTTTTCTGATGCTTTGAGATTTGTCATTTTGTATGTTGCCACATTATCAATCCCCCTACTTGAAAGACAACATCTTATAATACCAAACTTTGAACAGTTAGCCTGTTTGAATATTAGCAGGGATCTCAGAAACAATTTACTGAGTAAATTGGAATATCTTCTAATATACTGAACCAAGAGGAAAGTCAGAGGGGCCCAGAGGCCAGCAGAATCAGGCCCTTTTCACTCTGAACTAAGTACAGCGCTGTTGTAAGTGAAGTCTAAAAAAAGCTTGTACGTGGCTATGAAAGCCAAATAGGTGACTATCAGATAGTTTGCAATAGGAGAAATTTAACAATAACCCCTAAACCACTCTGAGGCTAGAAGGAGATATTGAGGTGTATCCAGGAAAAACACTATTGACCAGTCAAAAAATAGACCCCGCATTATTGAGCTTTATGCCACCACTTACTATAATAAAATTTTGTTTGGTCAATAGGATATTTCATTGAAAGGAAAAAGAAACAAAGCTCCAGGTGGATGAGGCTGAATTTTGAACTGTGTAAAGAAACAACTTTTGAGCCAAAGAAGATGATTGAAGGTGTTGCTTATGAGGTCCGTGTATTTGCTGTTAATGCAATAGGCATTTCCAAACCAAGTATGCCTTCAAAGTCCTTTATTCCTTTAGGTAAGTAAACTAGAGCATAGAGATAGGTATGCATTTAGAAAATTATCCTTGATACATTATTACAGTCATCTAATTATATAACTGTAGTTCTTGTTACCCTTGTGTTGCTCAGGATGTGTCTTTATTAGGTGCTGCATAAACTATATGTCTATCCCTGAAGAATTTATAGTCTTTTATAAACAAGAAACAAGGACGCATAGACAGAAAAATGGTGCGCTGCAATAAAACAGTGATGTTATAGGTGATCCTGATATACTATGGTCAATACGTTTTAAGGACCAGAATTAATATTTCCATGGTTTTGTATATCATAGGTACCTCCTGAGTCAACAGAGTCAAACTACTGGCAATTACAGAATTGATAAAGATGATGGATTATGGTCTTGGTTGTTTTTTGCAGAAAGGGATCACATATTTTCAATATCCTTTTGCAGACAATCCAGATTAGGCTAGGTCATATTTTATACTATTCTACATGTCCTCTTACTGCTTTATAATAAAGTAACAGCTAGAGGGCCTTGTCATTCCCTAGTGACAAACTAATTTGGTGGCCTTTTCATATAAAGAAGCAGAATTTTCAAACTATTGTGACAATCACAAGTCCCTGTAAAAGAAAGGTGCCTTGTTCTGTAGGCCAGCAAAGGTTCCCCCCGCGTTCAGCAGCACCCCAGCGATGCAGAGGAGGAAGAAGGTGGCTGTTATTGCTACAGCGTGCTCTCCTCTTGCCAGAAAATTACTGCTGTTGTAGAATACGCTACTCACAACTTCTCTGCTCTACCTTCCACTGCTCTTTGTCCTTCTCACTCCTCAGCACGAGGAATTTAACTCTGGGTTAGGCTGTGAGCAGATATGGGATGAGGTACCCGCTTCTCCTAGTTTGGTCCTAATTGGGAAAGACGTGCCAGGGGTGATTGGAAATGCCTGGTAGGCAGGATTTAGCCTGTCACCTCTCATGCTGAATTAGAGGAATATACACCGTAAATGTAAACCTTTAATTGTAATACAGTTTTCTGCCTTCTCCCCGCTGCATGCTTGCTTCAGCTGTTACCAGTCCACCAACCCTCCTGGCAGTGGATGGAGTGACTGATACCTCAGTTACAATGAAATGGAGGCCACCAGACCACATTGGAGCTGCAGGGTTAGACGGCTATGTTGTAGAGTACTGCTTTGAAGGAAGTAAGTGACAACAACAGTGGTATGTACTCATAGAGAAAGTAGGTAAGACTTTCTCCATTTTTTCTCTACGGGTACCAGGTGCTCTCACTTTAAGGCAGAGTCTAAACAGTCAGAAAACCTCAAGCACCAGGGTTTTGTTCAGGCTTCCTTTGGTTTGTATTCCAGATCCGGCCCATTGATTGTGGTTCAACCCATCTTATATTTGATCTGAAATCCAAACCAAAAGCCATATAATCTGTTGTAGTGTACCAAGTACCGTGTTAATCGCTATCCTCTTTTTTGAGCTAAATGAAGAGTCGATGCAGTAAAGAGTGGATGGATGAATGAATAGGAAATAATGAAAGGCTATAAGTGTGGTCCAAAATATGTGCAGGTTGGCTGGGTTAGGGAGAGGAGGTCCTCAGTGGGGTAATCCCTATCTTGACATATTACAAATTGGCTACTTCAAGTGCCAGTTCCCAATACTGAGGACAGACAGCCTTTCCAATAGCTGGCTGTAGAAGTTATCTAGGCATGCGAAGTTCATGTCTGGATATCGAATTTTTCCAACATTTCAGTGTAGTTAGATACAGGACCTTTAACTATGTCCATCTAAGACATAAATCTACACAGAACTGAAGGAGAAAGATAAAGATGTAAGAGACTGAATAAACTTATGAGAGTAAAATAACAAGGAATAGGGAAATATAACGTATATTTTACAACTTAGAGTCTTTGGTGATCAAGCAGCAGAATCTTAGTATTTTCCAGCAGATTTTCTTCTGAGTTGGCCTCAAATGAAGTCTATTTTCAAAAAGTAAAATCCACCAACTCCTGGGTAAGTATCAAATAGCCTAGAGTGGTATGTGCAATACCCAGCCTCTGTGGGCAAATGCCAATCAGTGGGACTCCAGCAATGTTGTGTGCTTGGACGAATGGGACACATTTATCTTCAGCTCCGCTGGCTGCTGCTCTCAACTGTGCTGTAAATCAAGTGATGAGTTGGACACCTTTTTCCATAAAGGCATTTATTTCAACGAAAGCTTTTCGTGAATGCAGTCCACAGCTTGGAGACAAGAGGTAGAGGAGAAAACTTGTCATTCACACTGTCACGTGTTTCAGATTCAGACAATCCAGGAACACGGTAGTTCACAAAAGTGGTCAGATACCACAGGAGCAGAGTGCCCTCAGCTCTCAGTCAGGTGAGTGGGAGAGGGAGTGAAGAAGAACCACTGGCTTTTCTCAGGAGCACTCAGCATCTTGTAGTATTGAGCTGAATATCTGTAAGGAGCAGGAACAGACTGCAAGAAGCTCAGAGGTCTGGAGAAGATTACCTGAAGGCAGACACAGCTGGAATGGTAGGAAGGGTTTTCCTTGCATATTGGGAGGGAGCTGCGAGAACAGCTCAGAACGAGTAAGCATGCAGTCTTACGTCAAGATGCAGCATTCCTATAACGTTTCCATTGCACAGGCAAGATGTATGGGAATATAAAGGGGACTGTCAATGTGAGCACTTCAGTGTATGCTTTATATTATGCTCTGTTTAGCATTGGTAGGATGGTGGGGGAAAAGTTAAAAGTGTTTGTAATATGTCACTGTCATAAAACCCTTGACACTCCAGTATGTGATTTCCAAATTAGGTGACAAGAGAGGATAAGAAATATATATATACGCTAATGCAAACTATAGTGTTCAGAAGAATCTTCCAAATCTATCTTTTAAGGACTATTAGACAGAAGATCATTCTATACCTGATGAATGGAACAAATTATTCACTTTTTTTTTTTCAGATAGGTTTAAAACATATGAAGATACAACAAAATGGCAGTCAACTCCGTCATTTTATTGTTACCCACCTCAGTTAAAATACAATGGGTACAATGTATTTTACATAGCTTTCGAAGTGTTTATGTATATCTATATATGCCTCCTATATATGCATATACATTTATGTATACAAAATTGACGTTATTTATATATATGTTATGAAAATGGTTAGGAAGAAGCAAGCTTAATAGAAGATACCAATTAAAAAAGATGTGTTATTGGAATATACATCCTTTTCTCTATGTTCAGTCCCTTTTTTCTTTCTTGCAATATCTCAGTGCCTCCTTTTCTCAGTCTTTCCAGTGCCTGTTCTGCCTCAAACTAATTTCTTCTATACTGCTTAATAACTCTTCTTAATTTCAAGGTACTTTTTATAACTGTCTATATTCATTCTGCTGTTCTTTTCTTTTAGTTATCTGTAAACTCATTTGGCTTTACCTTCTCCATTCTTTCATCGTTGTTACTGAAGTAGCTTTAAAGAGGGCTTTTTTGAGACTTCCTTATCATAGCAATCATTACAAGAAATCACAATCTGAAAATAGGAAGACAAAATATATATATAATTATAATTTAGAAGAATCATGTACCATGAGCATTGGTTTAGCTTCGCAAAAATTGGTATTTGCCTTTAGTCTGACCCTCATAACTTGGTCAACATGGTGGACTCTTGGACTTCCTTAACTATGGTAGCACCTTTGACAGCTCACTGTGTATATCACTGAACTGGAGTCTCATCATGAGTATCTGGATCCGGCATTGCATAGGTGTGAATAACGTAAATATAGAACTCCCCTTGTCAGAGCTAGTTTACAACATCCAATTTGAATGTCTTGCTGTGGTGATGTGGAATAGACCAAATCTTGTTGACACTGGAGAAGTCAATTCCTAGTAACATATGCTGCCGACTGGTTCTTGTTTGACATTTCAAGGGTAGTCTGATGAGCTTGGCCCTAGTTTTACCTAGGACACTACGTTTATCTGCCTTTAAAAGGTCATTGTACCTGCAGATGATCTGTTTTCATAGCTAGTAATTAAGCACTTCGGAAAGTCTCTGTTGGCTGAGATCTTTGCCAGTGTACCCATCGAGGACCATGCACAGATAATAGAATAGTATTTTTACTATCCTGAAAATAGCCAAGTCCAGGATTCCAGGAAATCCAGGGCAGTCATAGCGTTGTCCAGAAAATAAAGCCTTAGGTATTACATCATATCTGTCATCATTCATGGGTTTGGCCTTCTTTAATTTTGTTTCTATGTTACCTTTAGCTAAATGTGTTCTTTTCCTCTGTTTCCCTAAGTCTTTTTCCTAGACTTCTCTTTTTCTGTCTCTCTTACTCAGAACTCTTCTCTGAATTTCTTCTCTCTTCTATGACGTGTTTTCTTCTCCCCCTACACTTTCTCTCATCATCATTTTGTTTCATTTCTCTCTCTTCCAAATGCTCCTTTTGTCTCTTTCTTTTCATCTTTCCAGGGCTGTGATCAGGCCCAAAGAAAAAAACCAACCTTATCTCCTCCTCTTCCTTTACCTTTTAGCTTTCCTGTGAGCATCATGCATAACTGTTCTTTGATCTAGATGCCCTCTTCCCATCTCTTTCCTCCCTGCAGTCTCCCTAAATACCGGTCCTCTAAATCTTTAAAGCCCAGCATCTATCTTTGCATACTTACTAACAGGAATTGCTAACCACTGACAAAATGCTCCATCTGTGTGAAAGTGGGTGTCTCTGATTAATTTTAAAGATGGATTCTCACAAGGTATATCGACAGATGTGTCTGAGGATTTGGTGGAGCCACCTTCTAACCTGGAAGGTACAGTATTCGACAAAGAATATAAATCTTCTTTAATGAAAGAAAAACTCTCTTCAGAAAAGTAAAGATAAATTTCTGAGAGTGAATTTTAGGGGCAACAGTCTACAGAACTTGCTGTAGGCTGTGTATAAGGGGAGGGGGAGGTGTTCAGGAAACAGTCATTGATTGCAATCCTCTTCTGCTAGAAGCTGAAAGAAGCAGCCTGAAGGAGAACTTAATTCCTAAAAGTAAGACCCACAGTTATGAAAATGTACCACAGTATTGCGCGCGAAGTGTGCAGGGCTCTCTGGCTTATAATAGTTCTCTTTTCTTTTCTGCCAATATTATAATACTATCTTTATATGATGTGGAAGGTATTGATACTGACTTGCTACTGCATAAATCTGACTTCCAAATGTCAAGGTGCCAGCAGCGTTAAAGTGATCTGTTTAGAGGACAGGGTGGAAAAGAAAGTATCATTTGTAGTTGAAGGTTTTCTGAAAGACTGTACTGTTTCCATCACTCTATGGATTACATGCGACTGCCTAGGGGTACGATAAAAAATCCAAGAATGCTGTAATTACGTGAATAATTCTGATGCAGCCTTCCTTTTTTAAAGGCACCAGGAGAGATGGCATTTCATTTCAATTTGTAAATATTCTGTATTTCTGCGGTCTCAGTGGTAGTTTCAAGGGTACTCAGTACTGGTCTAATTGTGATATTATTGAAATTAATTGTAAAACCCATTTCTCTCCAAGGAAGCTGTTAAAGCAATGAAGAGTGCTTTTGGAAATATACTCTATGTCCCCCTTGTTTTCTGTCAGCTGAATTTAAAGACTAATCAGTTTTCTCTCTGAAAATGAAATGATAGACACATTCTAAAAACATTTATTTCTCTAAATACAAATATATAATCAGCAGAAACCCTTAAAGGTTTGAAACATTTTTCCTATGTATGATTAAAGTGAATCAATACCATGTTATAGCATAATTAGAAAAACAACACAGAGGTATTCATCAGAATATAATAACCTATTACCGTTCTGTAATTTTGCTCATCCGTGCAGTGGATGTATTTATAATTCCCTATTCTTTCGATTCGTCCTCCCCTCCTCTTCTGCCTGAACTAGCTGATAAATGGATCGTGGCTAACCCGGAGCTGACAGACAAAACGAAGTTTACTATCAATGGCCTGCCGACTGGCGCGAAAATCCTTGTGAGAGTAAAAGCTGTGAATGCTGCTGGTGAGAGTGAGCCCAGGTACCACCCACAGCCTATTTTAGTCAAGGAAGTGATAGGTAAGATCCTCCTGCCTACGCTCACCCACAAATACACTCTGCTTCCATACTTAGTTTGTTTTTTTTAAGGCTAATACTTACTTGTTGGAAACTGATGATACGGCCTTACAAAGCCATTGTGCAGCAGCTAGAAATCATGAAACCGTTTTTAAAAATATTCATAATTCTTTTTATTTGTTTCATTTCCAAGCCTTTATTGCTCAGCCTTTCAAGGCTTTTTTTATCCAGAACTTGAACTTGATGTTGCTTTTTTTGAGTTGCACTAAGTTTCTTACTTATTCCTACCGCCATAACATTTGGTGTTACAAAAACCAATGGTGTACCAAATGTAACATCGTGGGACCAAGAAATTTAAGATACCTCACTCATTAGTCATTCCTGGGGATTGTAGACCACAGAGTCTCCTGTTTATACTGATGCCCACCAGTACTGCCTAAGTCAGAAAAGAAGATAAATGTCAAACACAAGCTTTTGGCTTTTTTCAGAACCTCCAAAGATTCGTCTACCAAGACACTTAAAACAAACCTATACTCGAAGAGTTGGAGAAACTGTGAATCTCGTTATTCCTTTCCAGGTAAGAACTAAAAACACTGACAGGAAAATACTACTTTTTCTTATATTGTTGCTTTTTAACTACTTTCTGCGTAACTTTGGTCGGCGAGTGAGTTAACTTAAGCAGATGTGGAAGCACACAGAAGGCCACAGGTGCTTGAAAGCTTTTGCTTTGACGTCTCAAAGAAATGATGTTAAGCCAGTTAATGAATTGGGTAACTAGCTTAGACAGACTCATTTGTCATCTGTCATCCAAAGGACACTTATAAATCCTCCTGATAGACATTACATGTGAGATAATTGCTTGCACAGTGCAAAGTGGTTACACTGGCAGTAGTTAGATATGGTATCATGGGTGGGGCTGCAGCATCTACTCTTTTTCTTGTCTTGAGAGAGGAAAAGGGAGGGGAAGAGTGGGCAGAGTTTCTCTGTCTTCTATAGAAACTGCAACTTTTGAATCCTTGAGATCACAGCTATAATATGACTCTTTCCAAGGATATAGCACGTTTTCCTACAGCATCGTGTTAACCTTTATTCCCATACCTTTTGCAACAGTGACTGCCTCTCTACCTGCAGGGTCCTTATTCTTCTGAATACAAGAATTATGGCAGAATTAACTTCCATTTCATCTCTGCACACCTAAAGATACTGGGTGGGCATAATCCGGCTTCTACAAGTCTGTTAAAAGCCTAATAAAAGCTTGATCAGCAATATACTGCAAGATACACTGCTCTTGAGAAATTAAAGGAATATTCTATGGTTATTCTCTAAGGCATTCAAAAAGGTGTGAGAGTACCCTTTTTGGACAGCATCTGCAAACTGTTTGCCTTTGGAAGGCAAATCCCATGGTAAAGCAGGTGGAATTCACTCTGATTTAAGTACCTAAATTGGGCACTTTTCTAGGCCCATAAAAATGGCACAGAAGAGATATCAATCCAGCCTACCTAACAACTATTCCAACAGCTTTTGCAATGAAAGAAGAGAGTTTTGGATCCCTGGAGGTTTAGTCCACTCCTTTCCTCTTTCACTGGCAGTGTAGAGAATGTAGGCACTTCCAGAGGATGAAATATTTTGTTCTGCATTTTCCGTTTTTTTTCTCCTTTTTTTTTTTTTTTTTTTTAGAAAACTGGAAATTAATTGTCAAATTTAGCCAGAAAGTTAACTGTCCAATTGAGCCAGAACTTGCAAATATTTTCAGGCTCCTGAGAAAAAAAAAAGAAAGGAAACTGCATTTTAGGTGAATTAATATGATTGCATCTCAAAAGCTGTATGATTTAAAAAAGAATTCTCAGCTTCTTTCAGGACGGTTTTTATTTTCCATTTGGGAAAAATGGGAAATAAACCCATTTTCTCTCCCGCCCTTTTCTCTTCCAAAATCATATACAAATTGTTTCCTGGCTTCTTACAGGGAAGACCAAGGGCAAAAGTATCATGGCAGAAAAATGGTTCTCCTATCGACAAGAACCAAATCAACATCCGCAACACTGAAAATGACACTATCATCTTCATCCGAAAGGCAGAAAGGAGCCACTCTGGAGAATATGACATGAAAGTGGAAGTAGAGAACTTGGAGGACAAAGCTACGATAGATATTCAGATTGTTGGTATGTTTTGAGAAACAGAAATAAATGCATGCTAGAGAAGCGGTCTCCAGCCATTCCAAGGCTATAGGAAAGCAGAGGAATCCCAAAAAGCATCTTTCTTGTCAGTGATAACTCTCCATGTCCAATTACTTCGCTATAGATTTGTGGTCTCTAAGTAAACCTCCCTACACAATGGCAGGTCCTTGTTGGAACATGTCAGTCTCTTTTTTTCACTGTTATGCTTGTCATGTTCTTATCTATCCAGGATGCAAGCTTTTTCCTGTTGAGTGGTATCCATAGCCAGAAACAGTAGTACATTCGTAGAAACTTTGACACAAGTGTGATGTGGAAGAAATCCTAAATGTTGAAAGTACATGAAAGCAGAAAAGACAGACAAGAAAACACACTTACTTTTCGTTTTTACCAAGCTATTTCTTTACATAATAGGCTAAACTGGTAGCACAGCCTATATAATATAATGATTGTCTGACTGTCTTTTAGGAACACATCTTCAACTGGTTTTAACTTTTCCAAAATATCATGTCCTTATGCAATTAAAGAGCACATGCATATCAGAAACCATACTTACAAAATGGTCAAGTTAAGTTTTTCATAATTCTGACATGTCTTAACTTTGGAAAGTTTTATTTTGCAACCTCAGCTTTCTTTTGACGTTGGTTTTGGCATGTGCGTGTTGTAAGAAAGAGAGAGAGAAATCAAACTAAGTGGAAGATGTGTGTAGGAAAGAGAGAGAGAGAAAGCAAACAATGGAAAATGTCAGCTGCCACATTTTCATTACAGATCGCCCAGGCCCACCAGAGGTGGTAACTATTGAGGACGTCTGGGGAGAGAATGTAAATTTATCGTGGAAGCCACCAAAAGACGATGGCAATGCTGCCATTACTGGGTACACTATTCAAAAAGCAGATAAGAAGAGTATGGTAAGTAATAAGGTGATGTTTAAAAGACTGATGTACTCATGAATTCTCCCTTTTAAAAATGAAAAACCTTACATGCTTAAACTGATGTAGGTGGACAAAGCACTGATTAGTCAGTGCTCAGAAAATCTGCAAGGCATCTCTAAAAATTCTAAAAATCTCCTGTTCACTGTATCTAAAGCCTAAAAATGGAAATGTTTTCAGATAGTGCAAAAGAGGAGGACTAAAAAAGGAAAGGACAGGTGGATTTGAGGGAAGTAATTCTGCTTTTTTCCCTCTCTCAGTAGAGAAAATAAAACCCAAAAATACTAATTCTGAAGTCAGTAGGTTGCTACTAGAATCAAAATGTAGTGCTGCTGTTTTCAAACCTGTAATGTCATATTGTGTAAGTCATTGCCACTCCATACTATCCATGGCAAAATGGTACATATGTAACTCGTAAACTGCTTTGAGATTTACAGATGAAAAGTGCAATATAGAGATGTTTATTATTTTCATTAAACTAACGTGAATTTTACACTTCCTTAAAAGGCAGTAGTTGGATTCTTACATTTAACACTTACTGCAAATTTAAACATTGGAAATCTAGGACAATATTTTGGGAGTTGCCTTATCTAAGGGAATCTTTTTGCCACCCCCACCTTTAAGATGTTGGTCTGCTTCATGGTCTGATCAATTCATTCTTCCTGTGCCACTATTTCTCTTCCCATCCTTCATTTTTTCTTTCTCTTCAGACTGTAAGAAGAGATGGTCTCTGTACAGCAACAAGAACAATGATGTCCCCTGTCTCTAAATCTCTGTGTTAAGGAGAAAGCAACAGTGTCTAGGGTCCAGTGTGTCATGGATCATTCAGGTCATAGTGTCCCCGTATTCTCCGTGGTGTTGCATTTTGCAATTCTGGCACAGCTGGCCTTCTACAGAAAACTGTTTTCCCAAAAGGCACTTTGGCTCTTAAAGATGACCAGATATCAAGGCAAACTGTGGCACAGGGAACTCAGCACAAGTTCATCTTTAGAAAAGCAAGAACACTATGTAGGGCAGAGTAAAGAAAAGCAAAAACATTGCTGTGGTCATATTGCACTTATATTAATTGCATTTAAACTCATTCATCTCAGTTTGTTATTTAGGTATTGTGTGCTAGGATAGCAATCACACATCCTGTTACTGCTGCAAGACTAAAGCGCTAAAACCCGTCTCCCCATCTGAGCCTTTAGATATCAAAGGACCACCTGCATAAAATGACGTTTCTCATGGACACTCAACCTGTGGAACAGGGGGTAGATTAGTGCATTGGCCTCTTGCAAGTACATGTTACTGCAGAGTAGTACATGCTACTACTTTTCTTATCTGCAGCAGTACCTTCTCTGTTAGCAGTGTGGGCTAGGAATGAAGGAGCCTGACTTGCCTCGCACAATTCAACCTTTGTAATATTGGATTTCTTAAAACGAACCCTCCCAGCTAAGAGAGTGTAACAATTCAGTAGGGTTCACTTTCTATTTGGCCTTCACTGCTCAGCAGTGAGCTCTGTGGTATTCTCATTATCACTCATTTCAGACAGAATAGTTAATTATTCACAGCTTCACTATTTTAGTGTCCATTAACATTCCCTTAAAAGAAAAATCCTACTCCCACAAGCTTGATGATTCTTCCAAACAGTTAATGGCTGAGAGGTGCAGGAAGCTTACTCTCTGTGTTTGTCTCTTTCAGGAATGGTTCACAGTAGCTGAGCACTACCACCGCACCAGTGCCACCATTAACGAGCTCGTCATAGGAAATGAGTACTACTTCCGGATCTTCGCTGAAAACATGTGCGGCCTCAGTGAGGATGCAACGATGACCAAAGAAAGCGCTTTGATTGCAAAGGATGGTTAGCTAATTATCCATTCCTTGTCAAAGGGAAGGGGTGTGTTCAGAGGCTGGAAGGTGATTAGAGGCAAAGGCCATATCTCTAAAGCATTCAGATGCATTCCTAGCCCCAAGACCAGGTACAAGTAACAGCTAGGACATTTCATATTAGGACTTCTTTCTTTGTCCACATAGTTCATAGTTGTGTTTTTTTTTTTAATCAAGAGCGGGACATTTTTCCCACGTTCTGACATTTTCTACGACCTTGGATCTCATACTCATGTCACCACTGGCAGATCTAAGTTGAGAAGAGCTGGAAGAGGAGTAAAGAAGCTGTTCTGTTAGAAGCGGTGGGTCGTTGCCTCCCAGTGGAGACTCGGCATCAGCTGTGCATTTCAGGCAGGATCCAACAGACGAGCGTAACCCCTGCTTCACATCCTTTGCAGGTGGAGCTGGACAAATTACGGTTCTGCGGTCAGAAATCCTGACATTTCAGAAATTGTCAGTTTGAAATGGTACTGTAAACTTTAAAAAAAAAAAAAATTAACTGCCCCTTTATGGAAGGGAAATTCTACAAACAGGTGGTTTAAAGGAAGAAAATCAATCCAGATTACCTCAGTTTGACTGAAAGAAAGGAATACATGACTGCCATGATGCAGAGGACAGACAACCTGTACAAGCCACAGTGACAGGCTGAAGGACTGAAGGCCGAGGCACTGGACCTCACTTCCATTATTAGAAAGAAAACTACCTCTCTTTTAGAAATGGGATCATGAACAAAAGAATGGCTATAGAAATTGTTTTTCGTCACTGCTAACTTGCCCTTGTCATGAGAGCAAGTATCAGGCCTAAGCTGCACTAAAGTCAGTACGAGAGCTTGGATCAGGCATCAGTGAGGCAAAGATGTTTAATGATACCTGTGCACAGGAACAGATGTCAGTCCAGCTGTTTTAAATGCCAGTTTAGTTTGTGGGTGAAGATGATTTATTGATGGTAATCTCCGTTGCAGAGCAGGGATAAAGTGGCAGTGAGAAACTAGATTTTACTACAATCTTTTCCTTGGACAGAAACTACATCCATTCAGGTATCTGTATTGTTAGTGCACTGTATGAAGCAGAAAGAAAAATAGATTTTCAGATACAGAGCCAGTTTGTAATCAGAACAAACTGTGAAAAGTAATTGGCAACAGAGTGAACACAGCTTGCCAAGGCAGGCATCCCGCAGTACATCAGTCAGGATCCATCCTGTTCTGTAACATGCAGGGCATGCAGGCAAAGACTCAGAATAAATGTGTATTATTTTGTATACCACCTACTCAGGAAACAAAGAGGAGCTCTCAGACATCTACCCTATAGCGTGACCAAGGGCTGTAGTCACTTCCCAGGCTCACTTCCAGCCTCCCCTACAAGTGCAATTACTAAGTCAGGTTGGTACCTAAAGCAGTGCAGATCAGAACAGATTCAGACTCTTTGTAGCTTTTTAAGATGCATGGGTATTTAACTACACGCCAACACTCTTTTTATAATGTTTTATTTTCATTTCACAGGTAAAGTCTACAAATACCCAGTTTACGACGATTTTGACTTCAGTGAACGGCCGTTGTTTACTCAGCCTCTAGTCAACACATTTGCTGTAGCTGGTTACAACGCTACTTTGAACTGCAGTGTTCGGGGCAACCCCAAGGTACAGCATGGCTCATAACCATGGTATCACTTAAAACACGGAACCTGACAATAAAAATTGTAATACTGTTTTTACTATTTGCCTCACTCACAAGCCAGGCTGAAGGCAAAAAGAATGGTGTGGGCTCAAAAAAGGATCTACTTACCCATGTTATAGGCATTATAATAGTTACTAAATCCACAGATAACTCAGTGAAAGGGCAGAACCTCAAGAGAAGGCTGGGCTATGCTGGGATTGCTGGCACTGACAGCAGCTGTACAGTTAATATATCAGTAAAGTTTGTTACTAAAATAAAGCCATAATTATTCTATAAAAAGCTAATTATGCTTTAAGAAAGCATATTGCAGGAATACTCCGGGGACTACACTGGTTCTCAGACCCACTGTGCAATGCATCTTCCAGTTTCTTTTGAGTTGTGCCTTCTTGTGATCTCTTTTCTGTTGTGAAAAACTGAACTGACCTAGTAAAATGAGAACTCAAGAGCGTTTAAGAGCACATTTGCTGTTCACTCTTCATCTTCACAGTTTCTGACTGTTTTGTGTGCGATACTGTGAAAAAACATGCTTTTTCTTATTGACTTAGAGTAATCGGATGTCAAACACCTATTGCTCAGGTGTTTGCTATCATTACACAGCACCTCTTCTATTGATAACAGGCTTATACTTATGACTTTAATTATGTGATAGGAGCCGCACTGAAAAAATCGTGCTTAAAAACAGATACATGATGCAGCCCGTGTTTATGTTTGAGTTAAGAATTACAGCTTCCTTTCTATCACTGTTTTATCTATTTTGTGTCATTTCTGGATTACTTAACTTCAACAGAACACCACAAAAAGTGATCAAATATTTAAGTTCATAGGTTTGTGCATGTGGGTTTTCTTCTGTTTTTACCACAGCCCAAAATAACCTGGTTGAAAAACAAAGTCATTATAATGAATGACCCAAGGTACCGAATGTTCGGCAACCAAGGTGTCTGCACCTTGGAGATCCGCAAACCCAGTCCCTATGATGGAGGTACTTACACCTGCCGAGCAGTCAATGAACTTGGAGAGGCAGAAGTTGATTGCAAACTGGAAGTAAAAGGTAAGGGTTTTAAATCATTGCAAATGCCCTGTTTGTTTGAACACTATCTACATAGGAGTCAAAAGTGTGCAAGGCAAATGCAAAAGGGAGTTCAAACAACTTTTTTAACTTTCACGGATGAAAATAATAACTTGGTTAGGACAAAATAAACTATATTGATTGCTTTGTTTTCTTTTTGAGGACCAATATGCTGTGCTTATGCTATATTGTCTTTTTTTCCCCCCACATCAATTCACATATTCAGTGATTGCAAGGACTTTTTCCACAAGTGACAACATGGTAGACTACCTCTTAGAGCTATGCCACTTACCTGACAAACTCTAGTAAGACTCAGCCATAGAGCTCTTTGGGAAAACATTAAAAAAATCAGCTTGGATAAGAGAGAGATCTCTGAAGGAAATGGCAAGGGGAGAAGGAGAGAAGGAAGAAAGATTAGTTCAGGGCAGTCTTTGTCTGCCTTAAAATTATGTATTAAACAAACTGAACATTTGCTTCCAAGGAAAACGTCTTAATGTAGCTTGTTAGTGAAATCATGTAGCAAAAAGCAGTATTGTTCCCAAGGACACAAGCTAGTTGATACAATAGCTGTATTTGCTTTAAGAACAAAGTAATCAAAACAATGGA